TTGGTTATTTTAAAAATCTATTTTCTGGAGAGAAAAAATTCAAAATTAGTTTGGCAAAAAAAAAAATGAAAAATAAAAAATATTCTTTATCTTTATATGATTTTCTCATTTTTGAGCTGAAAATAATTATTAAAATGTAAAAAATATCTTATTTATTATTTATTTTTGTCAAACTATAGTTTCCTAAAAAATAATAATAATTTCTACACAATCAATTTTGGCCATCCTTATATGTACACGTTGAAGGCATATACATGATGTCTTGACCTATCCAACGGATACTCATAAAGAATCTTAATCTTCAAATCTCTGATATTTGCTTTTGAATCTCGAAATCTTTTGAGATTTGCTTTTGACCAATAGAACACATGTTCACAAATCCATCTAAACACCAAAAAAAATAAAATAAAAAATAAAAAATAAAAAATGTTCACAAAGAATCTATGTGGGTGTTTGGGAAGTGGATTTTTTTGTAAGTTTTTTCAGTTGTAAGATATTATTGAAGAAAAAAAATTTGTGTTTGGAAAGATACTTGGGTTTTTTTGTAGTTGAATGTGATGTTTGTGCGATAAAAAGTGAAATGATTATGGAGTTTGATGTGATATTTTATTTAGATTTGTTTTTTTTGATTTTGTAAAACAATTATTTTATAGTGAAAAAAAAAATCCAAAAACTAAGTTCCCAAGAAAAATACTAAACCGTCCGTTCATAATATGTATATAGAATTTGCTAAATCATTATAATATTTATATAAAATTTTAGTATGAAAATGATGTGATAATAACATATTTATCAATAAAAGCCATTTTGATTGGTCTCTTATTTTAAAGATAAAAATTCACATTAAACCAATTTTTTTTGAAATTTGTCAAAACTCTGATACATCCACAAGGAAACTTCAAACAAGAATCATTTTTCATATTGCCAAACAAGCATTAAATTCACAATAGAAAAATGCTAGAAAATATTAAAAGTTTTATTAAAATTTTTATCAAATACCTGACATAAATGTGAATTCTATATAATTTTCACACCTATATAAGATATTTAGTACAAATTTTAATAAAATTTTTAAAATATCTAGCATTACTCTTCACAACTTCCATTTCTTTCGCTCTTTCTTGACCATCTTCTAACCACAAAGAAAGGGGTGATTATTCAGTACTCCCGGAGTATGGACACGTGGTGCTCCATAAGGTTTTGATTGGTGGAGAGACACAAGGGCCCACGATTTATGTTGGACATGGGGGGACAACATGAGACTAATTAATTGCTGATTGGTTTGGAGTATGGACACGTGGTGCTCCGGGAGTATTGAATAATTTCCTCAAAGGAAGACCATGGCAAGACACATCATAGAGAAGAAAGAACCATTCATCTAAAACCAAACATAAATACTACGTATCCAGAAAAAATAACTAATATAAATTTGATTTGCATGTTTCAAATTCCGGGTATTTTTTATTGATACGTAGCATTTTTGAAAACAAAAACAGATGCAACTTCCGAAAGCAAAAAAACTGAACTTGTTTCAAGTTGAGAACTGTGGAGACCTTGGAATCCTTTGAGCCAAGAAAACATTACCATTGTTAAACTGCACAATGTTTCCGGCCAAGCAAATCATCATATCAACATAAGAATCTCGAAGCCTTTTCACTAGGTTACCATCCGGTTTTGGTGCTGTAATCACATTTGATCGCGTTTTTGAGGCTGATCTTATGATCTTTGAATACTTGTTGCGAGTCTCTGATATTGCCTTGGATGAGCTTTTATCTTTCTTGGCACAAACTACACCTAGTCTTTGGTATTGCCTTCTCACACTGTGCCTCTTCAATGTTCTTCCACACAGCAGAGTAGTATGTGAATCCATATTCTTTGAATGTGTGTGTGTGAGGAAGATGAAGAAGGTAAAGTGAGTTTTATTTAAAACTAAAATTCAGCAGGGAATATGTAAATGATCTTTATTTGTGTCATCCATCACCAACTAACAAAACGGTTCCTTCAATTGGAGTTATATATTCTTATCTCCATTTGAGATGTTATCTAATATTAGACGTGTGGGCACACATTACGTGTATGGATCAGTTATACAAACCATGTCAATTATTAAGTTTGAAGTTGTTAGAGCATCTCCAACCCACTAGGCATATGATGCTTGTTAGTCAAAATGCCTAATGTGACTCACTTTTTTCAACTCCAATGCACTAGGCATATGCTTAGGCATTTTGGCTCAGCTCACATTCACTAGCTACATATAGCTAGCCTTCAAGGCTAGGCAAAATGTATTTAATCATTAAGATTATTTCCCTCCATCTTTGTTGTTGACGTGGCATTCTATAAAGTTAATAGTATTTGGATGAATAGCTAAAATAAAGAGCATGGTTGGGGTAAAAACATGAAATCGTTGATAGGCAAAATAAAATGTATACTTTATAGTAATATTTAGGTAGGTAAAATGCCTACTACCATTGGAGATGCTCTTAGATCTACAAAAGGTATTTTGACAGTCACACAAAAATAATTTCCAAAAAAGAAAAGTTAAGACAAAACTTCATATTTCGAATTTAATCTACCACATTTAATTGCGGGGTCACATATGAGTATTTTGTATAAAAGATGAGAAAAAAGTAGGAATGAGTAATTATATATCTCTACAATTTGAATGAAACATCACGTGTGATATAAGTCGATCTTGGTAAAGCATTTCTTCATTTTTCATTGACAGGGTACAAGACTAAGTTTACATAAAATTATTATATAGTTTTGGAGTAATCGTGTGATGTTACTTGCGTGGTACTCCCAACAAATGAAGAATTGTAAAATACATTAGGTAAGTTATCCCTTATCTCCTAAATTACCTAACAAAGGTGAGACAATATTGTACCAATTAAAAATATTTCCGTTAAGTCATTGATTAAGAATACCACATAAACAATGCCACATAATACTTCAAATGTCATTGGCTAAGAGGATTAAATACAAATGATAAAAAATGAATCACATAATCAAACCCAAAATATGTAAGTGAAGTAATATCATTAGAGTAGCCTCTTTAGTGGCCAGTTCCACTATCTCTCATGTATTAGTGTCCTCATTTTTTTATAATCAATTTTGTGTTATTCATAATTTTTTTTTATAACAATAAGGCCATGTTTGTTTAGGCGGATTGGATTAGCATTCCCATGACTAATAGTCCTAGGACTACGAATCCATTGGATTATGTATCCTATCTTAACTAATAGTCAAGTTTAAAATAATTAGTCCGTACTTCAATTGTTTAACCAAACATCAGATTAATAATTTTATTGAACTATTAGTCCAATCCCAAACTCATGTCCACCCAAACAAACACTTAAATGATTTGGAGATGTCACCCATATGAAAAAGTATTTTAATTCTGTATTTGTAATGCGTGTAGTGTAGGTTTTGCTTCTTAGCTTGGTGTTAGAAGAAACGATTAATTGGATTGGTGAGTTAGGAGTGACTCCTGTTAGCTAATAATTATTGTGCAGGGTGTTATTATTGGCACCAACCAAAGTTAGTGACTAGGAAGGGACCAACATTAATATTCACAGCAATTTGCCTTGGTTGTTTCAATTTCGATTGTTCTTTTTTGCGTGCAATTTGGATTTCCATTGGGCTCATTTGATGCTATTTTTTATTTGAAAAATGAGTTAGACCCCCTTTGTGGAGGACCCCCACAACCCCCTTATTGATCTACACCATTCATGATGTGTGGGGCCCACTCATGAATGATGTAGATCACAAAAGGGGTTGTGGGGGTCTTCCACAAAAGGGGTCTCTATCATTGCTGTAATTTTCCTTTCCTCCAAAACAAACATCTTTTATTTCAAGTAGACACATTGAAATTATAGAAATCCTCTTTGTTGAAGTATGAGAAAAGGAGTAATTTTGTTCTTAGAGCTACACACATCCTACATTCAGGTGCCTCAAATTCATTTGAACTGTATTTAGGCTTGGTTTGAGGTGTTTCAAAAAAGTCAAAAAGTTAAAAAAAAAAACAAAAAAATTATTACTATTCACAAATTAAAAATATTAAAAAATTAATATACATAATATTTTAATCAAATAAAATTTACACAATTTTCGGGACTGAATTAATCCTTTAATACCGTGTGAGGAAAAAAAAAGAATTACATATATAAAATCACTAAGTTGGACGGAAATGTTGGGCCCGTAGAGACCCACCACGGGTCTCGTTTTGATAATCCGAACCGTTCAATATGTAGAACTCGTCCAGAACTATATGTTTGCAAAAAATCATATTGATCGGAAATCGATAACTACATGATCAAATGAGTTTTGTATAAAAAATGGATGGTGTTATAGTTAACAGTTGACAAGAAAAATTAACACGATCAGATAGCTATTGATATCCAATCAATGTAATAGTTTACAAATATATAGTACTCGACGAGTTCTACACATTGAACGGTTTCGATTAGCAAAACGGGACCCGTAGTGGCCCCCATGGGCCGAACAACACTGTCCAATTTATGCCCGAAAATGAGAGAATCAATCTCCTACCCCTACCCTCTACCGCGCTGCCCCTTACGCCTCCGTCCGTACAGCTTATTCCATAACTAACTTTTCCTATACACTTATTTATACAATTTTTTAATATGCATTGTTTTCATAAAAAATCAAAAAATTAACCCAAACATTCATATTTTTTTCCTCAACTTTTTAGTCCAAAAGAACAAAAAGTACACTTATTTAGGATACTCCAAATAACCCCGTCCTGGCATGTCTGTGCAATCCTAATTCACATGTAAAAATACTTTCAATGTTACTTTAAGGCTATGTTTAAATCTATGATTTGAGAAGGAATTTATGGAAGAAAAAAATAAATAATTAATAAAAGAAATAACAATTTATATTTCAACCACATTTCTTTTCCCTCTACAGATCCTTCTCCAAATCCAACACTCAAACACAACCTAAAACCATCAACAAATTAAGATCTACCTAAACAAGGGTAAAATCATGAAGCACGTCAACTCAACCAACAAACAATTCAATTCTAAAACAACAAAATGCAAATTTGTAACATCAGTAAATTGAAATCATCGAAAAGAAAATGAATTTGGTAATCTGTGTCCATGAATCTATTTGGATGTAATTTACAAGTTCAAGTATGCAACATATGAAATACACAAGTATAATTCAGTGACATTGTATACTTGTAAAATGAAGCTATGAAATCAGTGTGTTTTCCCAGCTTCCAGTAATCCCAAATCCGGGCTTGTATCTAGCATAGTTGATTTTTCAGTTTCTTCACCGTATACATGGTGCGCGTAAGGGGCAGCTTCCATCTCTGTTGGCACGGACTGAGCAGCATTTTCAGCCAACGTTCTAAAATATGCATGAGGTGCCCAACCTGCATTATAGAAAGAGGAAAATAAGTAAAACGGATAAATTAGCGACAACAATACCTAATTAGGACTAGTGGAGAGTGATGTAGCAGAAAAATGTAATAAAGCAAGTAAGGTCTTAAATTCCATTGATTCAAGCGAATACGAGGATTAAATACTCAACAATAATTTATTCTTAAAAGAATACCTAGGGTTAGAAGAAAGAGTATAAACTCGAAATTTCATGAATCATAAAAAAACTCTCATCCTAAGGCCCACAATCATTATTTATAATGAAAAGCAGACTCAACCTTACTAGGAAATAATTAGATATGACAAAATAAGCAAACAACACAAAATTGACGCCCTAAACTAATGGCTCAGTCCAAAGTGCACTGGGTCCATGGCGAAGCGATGGATCTTGATCTTGGTTCCTACTATTTCCACTTGCCTTGTTTTCCCAAGTGCCTATCAATTTGCCTTAAGAATTGCATGGCTAAAGTACCAGATTGTAACTGTAACACCCTATCCCACATCGGAAGTTTGCATGGATAATCTTGGACATATAAAGCACCACTACCTTACTACTAAATAACTTAGACTTAAGCTTTTGGGTATTGTTGGTCGACCAACAAGTTACTTGGGCCAGCAAGTAGTAGAGTATTACAGTAACATCTAATATTTGTTTGTTAGTGGAAGCTCAATATAACCAAAATGTCTTAAAAAAAACACCATTAGAAAATAGAAACATACCATTCATATCATGTGGGTATGGAAAGAAATGCAAGTAGCATAGTGAAGAAACTCCCATTCCTGCATTGAAATAACATTCTACCATTAGCATATTTATTCTTATTTTCGATTATTGTCAAAATTATTTCGATGAAAAAAACGAAAAAATCTTAAAAGAATCACCACACAATTGTTCATTTCATAAGAACAAACCTATAATGCCTCCAGTGAATACATCTGTCCAATGATGCCAATAGTCATCCACGCGAGAAACTCCCACAAGTGAGGCCAAAAGATATGGAAGGATAACAATACAGAGTTTTGCAATATGGCCCCTACGATCAAACACCCTAATTTTCCCAGACAAATACCAAGAGAGGAAACCTAGACCTGCAAAGGACCCTGTGTGGGGGTAACCAAAACGCCTGTAAGCCAATAGTTTTGACCTGTAAGGATCCAACAATCAATTGAAACATGAAATGTTACTTGTCATAACAAAATTAATTATAATACTATTGAAAAACTATTTGGACTCTGATTAAATGTGCAGGTGTGTAGGAGTCCTTAAACTTAATATTTGAACCTCCAACGCTACTTGACTACTCCGTTGAACTAAGTTACCAAAGACTAGAGTTGGCTAGTTAAAGTACTAGAGTTAAAATTAGAGTAAATGGTTGGAAAAATATGATGAGCATTGACACTGATTTTGAGAATGATTGGTGCTGGGACTCCAAACAGCCCCTTCTATTTATAGAGGCCGAGCAAGTCATCTGTAGAGTTCTCTCATTCTATAATTTTGCCAACTATGAAAATCTGTAGGACATTCAATGAACGACAGCCAATTGTCGTCATTATTCAACTATTTTCATCCATATTTAGTCAGTGGTTAACTGCCACTGACCCACTACATCGCTGAATTTGGAGTAATGCACTTCCTAGGACACATATCTTCATTTTGTTGATGCCTATGTCTGGAAATGAACCTATGTTCTTGTTCTTCTTGCTACCTAGTAACCATTTTATTCAATTTTGCCACCTAGACCTCTTCTCTGGCCTGGAAGACCTAACTCATAAAGAGACTTTGTTACCATAGAAGGCCCAAACCCCATCGACTCCTGATGAAATTGCTAAGGCTCAATAATCAATCAAAGCTCTTCTTGAACAACCAGTGTAGGACCTACTCTCAGCTAGCTATTAAAAAGAGTTAACTTCATTTGCCAGACAACTTGGCTGATGCAACACCCTCTTGACCGAACAAATAGCCTTCTACCAATAGCTTTCCCTTCATTTCTCCAAGTTCTCATCCACTTCGTAATTAGAGCTCAATGGAGAACTACTAGCTGGATTGCTAGCAATAATCTTTTCTACATGCCTTTGGGGTCCAAAAACATTGAGAACACAATTAGAATACATGTATTGAACATTACTCATGATATAACTCACTCCCCATATATCGGCTACATAAACATATGAGACATTTATGAGAAGGAAATCAAAGTGTTGATGCACTGGCCAAGGTAGGAGCAGAACAACAAGAACACTTGGTGGTGCTTGAGGATCCACCCAACTCATTAACGATGTTGCTTGTTGCTGATAAGATAGGCATCTGTAATAGGAGGACCTCAACCTCCTGATGGTTGATGGTGCTCTGTTGTGTTTAATTTCGATTGAATCAAAAAATACATATATATATATATATTATGAGTGGTAGTACTTCTACAACACATGATCATTTGAAACTAGTTGCTCTACTTACAAGAAGTGTGTCCACTTGGGAAACTTTTGTAACCTTCCTTTATAACCTCCAAGTTTTTGTTGGTACACATGACATCCAATGTAGAAGGATTAAACACCTAGACATGCCGATGACAACATATGTTAGACAACAGCAAAATGCGGTAAACACAAGGTCTTAGCTTTAATAGAATCAAGGAAACAAAGTATTGAAAACGGGGACACACAGGCAATCCATCTTTGAAACACCGCCAAAAGAAATTTGGTCGTGGTCGACCAACAGCATCTTTGATTGACTCAGTTATGACTCCAGTAATCAGAGCAGAAAACAGAATGCCTGCACTTGCATATTTAGTACCATGAGATATAAACATTTCTGTGAACAAGAAATGAGCAACAAAAATATAGAAAGAAAAACAGACTTACCTAGAACAGCGTGATGCAAATCATAAACATCCCTTCTGGAAATGTAGTATACGAGAAATATTACACAAGGGAACAATATTGCATAAATCTGTTGCAGGAACAAAAGATTTAAACTTCAAAAAATGACTAATATCATACTATTCAGTACATTTTAATACAACGAAATTATTGAAACTAGACACATACCGGAACAGCCCACATAGGTACAGTGTCTGGCTTGAAAGGGTATTTCAGATCTGTCATCATCTCGCTTCCAATAAAGCGATGAAAAGGTTCAATATAATTCAAAATACCAATTATTAGGCCAAGGAGGAGAAGAATTAGCCAGTCTTGCATATGAGCTCTTGCCAACTTGGCTCCGTGGGATCTGATAGTATGAGATCCACAGTGAGTCACTGCCATCTTCTCCACCTAACATACCACACACACACACAAAAAAAAAAAAAAAAAAAAAAAAAAATTTGAGGACTTGGAGGATGAAATGTTATTAGATCACCAATTATCAGCTTAAGCTATTAGAAAATGGGTCCAACAATGTATATCAACCTCTCCAACACCCTCCTTCATGTGCAACCCTGTCTTGCATATGGAGATGCAAGCATCCATACATAGATAGAAGAAAGCATGTCAACAAGAGACAAAGAATGCCAATCAAAAAAAAAAAAAAAACAAGAGACAAAGAATGCAAACGTGGACCAATTGCAACTGGAGAGACTTGAACCCTCTAAGCTCTAATATGTAAGATCACCAAATGTTCCCTAAAGCTTGAGTTGTTAGGAAATGGACCCAACAATGATATCAACCTCTCCAACAATTCTCACCACTTCTACACTCATTACTCATCAAACAAAGCTTTTAGAGATAAGATGAGAATGAAATGCCTTTTTTTTCTTTTTCTTTTCTCTGAAACATACACCAAAGAGGGAATGGAGTGATTACTTTCATTCCACCAACAACATGGTACCAATTGAATGCTAAAAGAAGTTACGAATTCAAGGAAAATATGCATTTAAGAAAGATGCATTAGTGTTTTAACATTTGACAGCATTTACTTAAAAATCAATATTCTTAAGACACCTTCGTAAGCACAAAAGCAACACACCTCCAATCCTGCATGTATCCACACTTTCCATTGACTCAAAGTTCAAAATTGAAGGTTTTAACTAATTGGGGTGGGACTCAAACCAGGTGATGTGGGGATATATTCCATAAACTTCCAAGACATAATAAAGTAAAACTAACACACTCAAAAGATACATATAAGCACATGCTTATGTATTTAAAACATGAAAGAAAAAGAAAAAAAAAAAGAGAGACTACTACAAGAATGGCGGAGAAAATTGTTTAGCTTTGCATGGACAAAAGAAGTGTGATGGGTGTGGTGTTTGGAGTTTATAAGATGCTTGTACTTATGTGTGTACTTAAAGGATGGTATGATATGGTGTGATATGAAGTAAGATAAAGTTTGTACTTAAAGTTAGATATTATGTTAGCTTGTAATAATTAGATAATTCATCTATATCACACGGGTGAATATGTATCACATGTGTGTTCTAGAAGGTCCTTGGGTGGTCTATATGAGAGTGTTCGGACAAGAGGAGAACACATCACTCCTTGAAGCTTGTATTCTATTACTTTCTTAATGAACTTTTGTGTTTCCTATTTTGTGATCATGTTCCCTCCTTTGTGGTTGTACCTTCTCGGTGGTTGTCAATTTGGCAAACAAGACGACACAATATACTTGTGCACTCCCCAAAGAGGCCAAGATGAACAAGCATTAATAAAAATGTCTTGAAAATTTAATTTATATTTGTTCCTTGGATATCTAAATGTTGGCATTCCACACCAAATGTGGATGATATCCAGGATAGACTTATAAAACGGTGCAAAAAATTTCTAACTTGGAGGGGCCTTTTGAGTTAGAATCCAACATTACAAACATGTGAGGCCACTTGTTAGGTTGGGCCATAACGGACAATACTTCTAGGTAGGGGCCGGGTAGTGTACCTAACATTGCATGAGCTAGTGTTGTGCCTGCTTAGATACATTTAAGATCCAATTTTCTTTATGCAACTGACACCACCATCCTCAAAGAATTAATAAGAAAAAAAATTCGCTAAGATCTACTGTAATTGATAAGCATTCTTGTGTGCCCAAGAATTGGATTGGATCATAGAACTTCTGGGCTCATTTCTCAATCAAAATCCCGATGTAATATTACATAATTTGTCGAAAATTTCCCAATGTCATCCATAATGCATCAACCCCAATTACCCAATTATTATTGTTATTATTATATTTTGTTTTTTTGTTTTTTGCATGAACAAGATCCAAAATTGCATAAACCATATACAGTGAACCTAGAAAACACATTATGATGAAGAATACAAAGGTATAAAAAGATACCCATATTCATGCATGAAAAGAAAGAGCAAGAAAGAGAGAAGTTAAACATAAACACCTCTCTGAAACTCATGATAGATTAAATAAAACATATCCATATGTATGTATAACATTGATATGTAGGAGGGAGAAGAAAGGGTAGGTACCATTCAAGGGAAAGAATGATGAGAAGATTTGTGAAGAATGGCAGGAGGAGCTCAAGATGCCATTGGCAATGTGGGTTGATGGATTGAATTAAAGAAGGAGATGAGAAGAGAAGTGAGAGAGAGTTTTAACAGTTCCATAAATGGAATGTGGTAAAGATGCCATTGGTGACGATGAGAGAGATGCTAATAGGAGGAGGAGGGTTGCCTTGCCACCTAAATTCAAAACCATTTACTGTCTAAAAACGTTCCCCACCAATGTTTGAAACCGGATCTGTAAGCGAATCGAAAAATGAATCGGGTGGACAAGTTACTGGTTTAATCGTCGGATCAAAGCGATCGAACCGTGACATTACAATTAATATTATATAATTAGAAATAAATAAAAATATATATAATTATTGAAATAATATAAAATAAAATAAAAAGTGTTACATAATATTTACTAATAATATTTAATAAAGTCATAATTGATAAATAAATAAATAAATAAAGTCTCTAGTTTTAAAGAAATTTAAAAAATTTAACATTCCCTCCAAACATATTGATTGAATGCTAGATTTAATTTTGGAGGGAAATGAAATTTTCAATTCTCCTTCCAATCAAATATGATTCAAACAATTTAATTAAATCACACATTGAATTTTTAGGTTCTCTTTAAACAATTTTTCCTATAAATAAGAATAGATTTTCATAATTTCTTTAAACTCCCAATGAGACTCCTCCTCATGATAGGAGACTCTTGAAATAAGAGTTTTTGCAACTTAAGATGGCAAAGGAGGTAGGAGGATGGCGACCGGTACTATATGGAAGAGGGAGACAGCTTCAAAGGTATGATACTAGCAACCCAGGCATTCACACACTCTTTGTGGACAATATTCCCTTGTCTATGAATCCAAAAGGTTTGTATGCAATGTTCATGAAGTTTGGGGTGGTTAGAGACGTATTCATTCCAAATAAAACTAGGAAAACAACAAGGTCGAGGTTTGGCTTCGTCAAGGATGATTGCCCTGTAGTGACGGACATGGTAGTCCAAAAGGCCAATGGAGTGTGGTGTGATGATAAAGCTTTACGGGTCAAGTTCGCAGAATATGCAAAGGATACATCATGTGTTAGGGGAGTGGGTCAATCTGCACAAGTAGGGCATGGCAGTGGGAGAGGTGACGAGAATGGTAGGAGATATCTTCGGAAAACAGGGTCATCGTTCAGAGGAATGAAGACATATGCAGAAGTATTTCAGGCGGGGAATGTTCAGGAGACTATGGGTCGTACGGTAGATGTGGTTAAAGTAGGGAAGGGGTGGTTATATGACAGCCTTATTGTCAAGCTGAAAAGTTTCTACACGTTCTCAGATTTCAAAAAAGCAATCTGTGAGCTAGGGCCAGAAGGAGTTGCAGTAAGAAAATGAGTTGGAAGGACAGATGTACTCCATAAGTACATCTTCTGAATTGAAGGCAAACATGACACTATTAGAAAGTTGCTGAAAGGATTTGTGCGATTCAGTGACTGAGTGGTCGAAGTTGGTGTCTCTCGACCAAGAGAGAGGAGTATAGTTGTGTTGTTATGGAATTCCATTTAACTTATTGAGTGTTAATACTTTCAACAAGATTGGGAGCCTATGGGGAGAGGTAATTAGAGTGGATGACGATACGTCTAAGCAAGTGTACGGGGAGGAAATAATTCTCCTCGTATAATCCTGTTGACCAAATCCACGCTCCTCCGTACGACGTCGCTTTGTCACCTGAAAACACAAACGTGAGCTAGCCGGCAGGTGTGTGCCGGAAACCTCTCCGATGCCTAAGTCAGAAAACTTGACAAATAGACAAAGCTCTAAGTTCTCAGGAAAATTGTGTTCAATTACCTCCTCCAAGGTGATGTTTTATGGGCTTTTATAAGTTTCCCGTGGCACAATTCCTGGTAGACTTGTATTTCTCCATGCAGAGTCCTCCTAGGATTCATACTCCAAAGGATAATGCTTATCCTTTAACACCCTCCCCCACTGCTTTAAACCAAGTGGGATGGTTTTCTCCATGGCCGAACTTCCATGTGACCGAAGTAAAATTGGCTATGCCGAGCCACAAAGGGCCGAACTGTCCTTAGCTCGGTCTTCTCCTCTAACTTCTTACCCGGCTGCCCTGTTCAACCTTGGTGTGTTTAGATCAAACTTCCAAGTAGCAAGTTTTGACCGACCTAACCATAGATTGTCACGACCGGACTAAATGCAAGGTCGGACTTACTTCAAACTGCCACCGGACTAATTCTGAGACCGGCCTACCTAGAACATAGTGGACCGGACAAACTCTGAGACCGGCCCAACTCCAAGTCGCCTCCGGACCGGAGTAGCTTTACTCTTCCTTGGGCAAGCAACTATCCCCTCTTAAGTCGGAGTAACTACACTTCTCAATTTTGGGCTTCAAAGCCCACATCGCAGCTCGGCCCAATTTTTCCCAAAAATTACCCTCTCAATTGCCCCTTAATTCCATCTGCGCAACATGATTGGGATTACCAGTCCACTGGCCGAGCAGAGTTTATTAAGCCTTTCCAGCCGAGCTAAAAACCCTTTAGCCTCTCCAGCCGAGCGAAAACCTCGGTCTACCGAGCTAAACCGGTTCATGTCCGGTCAAAACGTCTCTTCAATCACAGCGACTGTAAGCTTCCCCTTCCAATGACACGTGGCAGATTCTGATAGGCTGAGGAGGCTGTCACGCCGTCTTTCGTACTTCTGAATTTTGAACAGTCCCGCCTCTTTTTGCCGCCTCTTCTCAGTCCTTTTCACAAAACAACTTTTCTACTCTTGAATCATTCACTTACACTTTTCATATTCTTCGTCTTCTCTCTGCGTGCTCTATGTTCTTCCGTTGTACTCGAAGAGGCTGTGGTTTGCTACCATTCTTCTTCTTTGCCTTTGTTTCCCTCTGGTAAGTTTTGAAAAAAAAACTTGTTTTTGCTTTCTTCGTTTCTGTTTTCTCTATCTTGGTGAAGCATGTTTGTGCATTTCTTGTTTTTGCTTCTGTGCTTTCATGAAAAAACCATAGAACTTGTACGTGTATGAACTTTATGTAGAAAAACCAATCTTAGATCCAAAATCACATAGCAACCGAACTAGAATCCTGTTTGCCCTAAACAAGTAGATAACCGTAGACAATCAACCGAACTAGAACATAAAAGTCTCAAAGAGTCACCGATGCCCGACTCTCTTTAGCCGAAGTAAGATCACGAGTTTTAAATATAGCAAACTAGGAACCTCGGTGTTCGACCGAACTAAGCTTTTGGGGCCAAGCCAGCTTTCTTAGTTCTTAAACTGGACTTAGAAACCCCCCTTGAGGCTCAACCGAAGTAACTCTATTCACATTGCAACCGATTTAGGCCTCGGGCTAAACCAGCTTTCTTAGTTTTTTAGACCGAACTAAGAAAGCTGCCCTAGACGTTAAACGGTCTACCGAGCAAATTGCTCAAACCGAGCTACCAAACCTTTTGATGAACCGAGATAGAACCAGTTTTTTGAGGCCGAAGTAGGGCTTTTATACCTTGCTTTTTAGATTGTAGCACGGTCCGTTGATCAGTGCTTAACCCCCCTGTGTTTTTTTACTTTGCAGACTTAGGTTACTCAGGCACTCCTGTGTGCGCTCAACCGAGCTACTGAGCACGATTTTTGCACCGATATAACTTATAAGTAAATTATATATCAGATGGGTAAGTATAGGTATCTAGTTGAGACCCCGGGCGGCCTAGCCGAATTCAGGCAAGATTACCAAATACCTGACGACGTCCAGCTGGTTTTGGCCGAAAAAAGACATCACACCCTGGGATAATGAAGGCTTCGTCCCCTTTACTCTGCAATCCATAATAGAAACCGGACTACGTGGTTTCCTGTCCAACCATTGATCTGTGAGTTCCTTAGACAGACTAGGTTATGCCCCACCCAACTGTCCAATACATACCGGCATTATTATGGAATAGCCGCACTAAACCACCAAACCGGTTTAAACCTTGGCCTTGCCGAAATATTCCATCAATATTCCATCGGCTCGAAAGATGCTGGGTGGGTCTATTACCTTAGGATCCGCCGCCGCCGAGAGAAGATAGTTAAGCACACACACGGACAAAGACCTTAATGATGATGACTTCTTCTGGGTCTCTGGAATTTTGAGGATTTTCAAGCCCAAATTCCTGGCCGACCTATAAACTGGAAAAAGGGAGAGCCTGGTAATTTAACTTCGGTCTTCTTTCTTGTATGTTATCTCGGTTTTTTTAGTCTACTGACCGAACTAACACTCTCTTTTTTTTTTCGCAGATTTCCCCATCTTCATTCCTTATATAGTTATCCAAACCTTGCAATTTTGCGAGCCGCGCTACGGATTAAAGAAAGAAGTTGGGCTAAGCTTCTGAACTTTGAGCCGACCTACCGGTACAGCGTCGCCGAAAAGCAAGGGTAACCGATTTCCTTCTTGAGGAAGCACCAGAGCCGGACCCAACCTTGCCCGAAATACGACTTGTCCCATTAACTGCTGAAGAGGAGATGGCAAAGAAAAGCAGAGTTAGGGCCCTTTTGACCGCAACACCAGAGCCGAAGTACCACCAACCATTGAGGCGCAGCCTGCCGTTGTGGCCCTCCCCTCTCAACGGCCTTCTTCATCTCGCCTTCCAAGCGCGCCCGATCTACATCGACCGAACAGCTACTTGTCGATGAGGTTGAATCCATCCCCCAAGGTCCTCAACCGTCCCCCCAACCGGAGCAAACTGACCGAGCCGAATCTCCGAAGTGGCTCCGCTGCTGACCTTAACGACCGAGACATCAAGGCTACTGACTCGGTCGTGGCTGAAAAAGACAACCAATTGGCCTTTAACCTGGCCAAAAGTGTGTGCCTTCCCAGGGACATGGAGCACCACTTGAAGCAACTGAACACCGAATGAAGTCAATTCGGTCTGCTTCCAAGTCCATGATTTGGTAAGTATCTCTGTCAATTTTTTCTTGTTTGAAGTTTCCAACTTTTTACTTCGGCTTAAGAGAAGTCTTCGTTTTGTCAGGCCTGCAGAAGAACAACATCACTTATAAGAAAGTCCAAGAACTCCGCAAAACACAAGGCAGGCGATGGCGGAAGCCGAAG